TTCCTTGGCTTTAAGTTTCACCATTCATGGAAACAGTAATTAGCTCTGTCATGTTCATGTTGGTAATATTACTTGCATAACATTAGCACTAATCCATGGGGCTGGCCACACCTCTTTTAAAACTTTGTGTATATTTTTTAAGGTTATTCTCATAATGCAATCTGCAGTTTCATAGAACTGGAAAACACTGGATCATGAAGTTTTCACTGACTTTACCACCAAGTATACGAAGTATATACCATTCTTTTCTGTAACTCTCCCAACATTGTCCCCCCAACCCCTGCCTTACCTTTATCATTATTATTGCTTTGCCAAAATTTAGCAAGCTAGCAGCCCCTAGGCAGAACCTGGTAGCCATATATATTTCAAAATACTGGGCTATAATTTTTTTTTTTAAGTGGTTCTGTTTGCCTAGTTTATTTTATTTTATTTATTTTTTTTTCCATTTATTTTTATTAGTTGGAGGCTAATTACTTTACATCATTACAGTAGTTTTTGTCATACATTGAAATGAATTAGCCATGGATTTACATGTATTCCCCATCCCGGTCCCCCCTCCCACTCCACCCAATCCCTCTGGGTCTTCCCAGTGCACCAGGCCCGAGCACTTGTCTCATGCACCCAACCTGGGCTGGTGATCTGTTTCACCCTAGACAATAATTTTTAAATTATGGCTGTAAATTATATTAGAACTACTGTATAGAATTTCTTAAATGATACTGGTTATTTGAAACCGAGGGGCTACTGCCCCTTCAGACAACCTAGTCCAGGGGCTAGTTGCCCACTAGTCCATTTGGCCTCAGTGTACTCAGACATCCCTTTTCTATCACTACACACCCAGTCTTTTGGATTTTGGATTCCTGCTCTATTATGGAAAAACACAGTTCTTGTCTTATCCTGCCCAGTGTGAGATGGGAAAATTTCTAATGACTTCGTTTTTCAACTTTGTAGCACCTTCAGTGTTTTCCATGATGCTCATCTTATTCTGAACTTTCAGTAAGTTAGTTTTGGTACACTTGAATGATATACAGAATGAGGTACTACAGAATCTTCCCAGGCTGCCTGAAACCATGCATTGGTTTCTCAACTTGATCAGATGTCTTGTTTTCATTGTTGTTAACAACTGGCATATCTGTTTTTCTGTTTCTCTCACCTGACATGGCTTTAATTGAATGTTCCTAGATGGCAGAGTTCATGCATTTTAATGCTCTTTGTCCAAAAATGCATTAGTAAGCATCACTTCTGAATAATACCAATAAGCACATGTAGAAAATATGTCTGCATCCTTTTATTGCAGTAGTGATGAAGTGATTAAATATATAGTTAACAAAATAGCATTATTGGTGATAATAAACTTCCCAAAATGCTAATTTGAGGGCTTATCAAGTTGAGAGTCAACTGCAACTATATTAATATCTGTAATTAGGTTCAATGTACACCAAGGGGTCTCTGGGGTCTGCTACAAAGAATTAATCTCCCAGATGCAACAGATGATAACATAAATGGCTTATGCTAAGAGGGATTTTCCTGAGATTCCCATGTCCCTTGGCTAAGCAGCAAGAATGTCTGTCTTATATGTGTATCATCGGCAAGTCTTTTGCAGCACCACCTGTGCACAGCTCTCTAAATTTAGAGAAGTTTCTACAGCTTGGGCCTCTGAAAAGGTATTTGGAATGTTTCCCAGGTTGTATGCTGCATAAACTTGGAGGCAGTATAGTGATAATTAATAAAGTGCCAGACTAGATAATTGTAGGAACTGTAAAAGATACTAAAATGTTGTTACCAGAGGCTCAGATGCACCTGTGAACGTGTGAAGTTAATTTGTGTGAGCAACATCATATGAGAGTGGATGGGGACAAGGGAGGTGAGATTTTCTTTAATTCAGACTTCAGACAGTGTAGCTCTCTAAAAAAGAGAGAGAGAAATGAGGAACGAGGGAAAGAAGGAGGAAGGGAGGTAAGAAGGGAAAAAGGGAGAGAGGGAGGGATGGAGGAAGAGAGGGAAGGAGGGTGAGAGGAAGGAAAGAAAGAAGGAATGAAAACAAAAAAGAACCTCCTGTTGGTGCAGGGCTTGTGGAAGGGGTTCCTCCTTCGTTCTTTCATGGTGTATACTTCTCTGTGACCTTAACACAAGTTTAAGAATTGTTATTGTTAGAATTTTCTTATTCCCATTGGACTGGAATGATGGGTATTACCCTTTATCCAGTTTTTAAATAACAATGAACCTCCTCATCTGTGTAACAATGCACCTGCTAATACTGCATTCTCTGTGTGCAGAGTTCTCTCTGTGACTCTGAATTCCATACAGGCTAATATCCATCATTTCTATATGCACTAAGTTAGTGAAAAAACCAGAATGAGAATACCTACCTTACAGCTTTGTCATGGGAGGAGTGTTGAGAACTACAGAGTTGAAAGCAATTTCAGAGCTATAATATGATACATGATAGCTCTACCAACTCTGATGGTAGCTCCACTGTTGTGACTGTAGTTTGTTGTTATTTTCATTGTTATTGAAATGGATTTTTGAAAAAATGAAAAGCAAATTTCTTCAGATGAGTTATTACCAATGATTATTCTGTCCTTCTTGTAAAGTGGATGGTATAAGATGGATGAATATAAGCAATGCCTCTTCTACATTAACATTACCATGTAAAAGTATTTTCTCCCAGAGCACTCCATTCTCTTGCATATCTAGCTAAGAAATGAAAAAAAACATGTTATTTCAACAATTCTTTGGGTGTGTGTGTAAGGGGGTGCTTCCCCATGGCTCAGCAGCTAAAGAATCAGCCTGCCATGCAGAAGACCAAGGAGATATGGGCTGGATCCCTGGGTCAGGAAGATCCCCTGGAGAAGGAAATGGCAACCCACTCTAGTGTTCTTGCCTGGAGAATCCCATGGACGGAGGAGCCTGGCGGGCTGCTGTCCAGAGTGTTGCAGAGTCAGACTAAGCACAGCACAGGCTTACAATTCAGTTCTTTCTGATACTAATTACCCAGAATTAGTGAAAAACCCACAGGCTAAAGACGCAGTGACTGCCCCCAATTTGATGATTTGATAGAATGATACAGCAAGAGCTATAGTTATGATCACTTGTTTGTTATAAAGAATACAAATGAAAAGCCAGATGAAGAGGTAAAGAGGGTAAATGAAGAAGGGTCCTAAGCACAGTCTCTGTCTCAGAGTTGAGACGCTCCCTCTCCTGCTCCTGTTTATCATCAAGGAAGCTTCTACAAATCTCATCACTCAGAGGCTTTCAGTGAGATTTTGTTAGCTAGGACTGGTTGGTTAAATTGCTGTCAACGTGATTAAACTTCATCTCCAGTGCCACCACCCTCCCTGACCTCCAAGTAGGGTTCAAAGTGCTACCCCTCTAATCAGGTAGTTGGTTCTTCTGGTGACCAGCCCGCATCCAGAAGCTATCTAGTCACTCTCCCTTCACCCCTACATCTGGAGTCATCTCATTAACTTCTATCATATATGGTCAAAGTGGGCTAGTTATCAATAATAAAAGGCCCTTCTACCACTCAAGAAATTCCAAGGATTTTATTGTTTAAATCATTTTTAAGAGATTTCAAATATTTATTTATTTGGTGGTGCTGCAGTGTATGTGGGTTCTTAGTTTTCCAAACAGATTGAACCCGTGTCCACTGCAGAAGAAACGTGGAGTGTCAACACTGGACCACAAGGGAAGTCTCCCAAGCATTTTAGAAGCTCTGTGTCAGGAGCCAGGAAAAAAGGCCAAATGTATATTTCTATTATACCACAGACAGTTTGCCAAATATTGGTTAGTCTGAGTTTCCTATCCTTTCCAATATGTTTGAAAATTTAGAAGTACTAAAACCTTGACTTCATCATTTTTTGTTTTTTTTTGAAGTGTTATGGAAACTGCCCTATATACAATTATTTTATACATGTATTTCTCTGAAAAAAACATTAAAATTTAATTTGCTTAAAACCCATATATAGTTTATTTTTTTGTGTTTGTATTTTGTAGGCTTTTGATGCATCAACTCAATTTCCTGGCCTTCTCTAGATTTGAAGTTACATATAAATTCTACTTCAAATAAAACATTTTCTCCACTCTCTACGTATTTATCCTTCACCTTATTTTCAGTTCTTTTCAACATCAGATCTATTCAATGGTAAAATGAAGGGCTCAAAATAGAACATCTGTAGCATAGTTGTTTATATACCATATAAACACATTTCAAATTCATATGAACTTGAAAGTGAAAGTCACTCAGTCATGTCCGACTCTGTGACTCCATGGACTATAGCCCACCAGGCTCCTCTGTCCATGGAATTCTCCAGGCAAGAACACTGGAGTGGGTAGCCATTCCCTTATCCAAGGGATCTTCTCAATCCAGGGATTGGACCCAGGTCTACCACATCTAGGAGGATTCTTTACCATCTAAGCCACCAGGGAAGCTGTATATGCCATATATATATGTATATATATATATATGGTAATCAAGATAATTAAAACACTTGTGTCTAAATCTGCTTCACTCTGGGAGTTTTCTTTAACGAGATTTTGTCTTTAATATATGTCTTTTCAAAAATATAAATATATAACCAGTGATAAAACTAAAGTGCAAAAACAGAATATCATGACATCACAGAATGCCACTATTTCTTTTCCTTTTGATTAATCCAGCATGCAAATATAAAAAGCATTTTGATTGATTTTAAGAAGTCCAATGATGTTTTGTTTTTGTTTCCTTAATGAAAATGAAAATATTAACTTAGTCTATAAGTGTTAAAATGTAGGGGACATATGGGGCAAATATTTTTCTTAATCAAATGTCTAGCATAAGCTCTTCCAAGTTTTTATGTCCATCTGTGTGCATGACTGTTTAGACTTAAAGTGTGAATGAGAATGCTTATTTTACAGTATTATGAGGATAATGGAGATATTTTTAATATTTACATATCCAAATGCTTATTGATCTTCCTGTTATTAAATGTTTTAAAATAATTGTTTCTTTTTACTTTCAGGTAACCTTCAAAGCATCAAGACATTCAGTTTCACCAGATTTAAAATATGTTCTTCTGGCGTATGATGTCAAACAGGTAAAGGAATGAATTTCTTTGCAAAAATGTTTTATTTGTGGTGCACTCAAGTAACAGTTCATAGTTTTCCTTGTCATCTACTTAACTAGAGAAAATTTGTCATATCCAATAGCTACTGGTGATTATTGATACCTAAGATGGCACAAGAGAATGTTGGTGATACTGTCTTTTCTTTCCTACCTAGCTAGTAAATTACTGGAGCAATCTGCAAGGTACTGGCTAGATACAAGGCCATCTCTTTTAGTGGGGAGTGTGGCAAACTCAGCAAATCCAAAAACTGGGGGCTTTTGATATTCTCACATAAGCCTTAATATCTACTTAACTGTCATAGGTATATTTGGATTAAGGAATTTCCTAATAGCTATTCCCTGAGCTGCAGTGTGAATTATTGGAGGGGACTGGTAAAAACATTAATTCAGTTTATGGTCAATGGATTCTTTGGTGGTGTTGGAGCATAACACTGCAGTTGTAGAAAATTCTGAAAGTGGGATAAGGCAAGGAATTAATTCTGAATAAATAAAATGTTCTAATTGCAATTAGCATTTCATTATCCCATGTCAGCTCTATAGCACAATTAGAGTAATATGCCTGGTTGTGGAGTATCTTGTACTTAGATGTAATTCTCATTGTTAAGAAAACAAAGTAAATGTTGAGAAGGCAGTTCAGCAGATTAGTTTCTTTAGAAAATAAATGATTGGAAATTATTCAAGGAAGTTTTGTGTGGTTTAAGGCAGATAATAAAAATTTACAGACTTAAAGCAGAAAGCTTCATATAATGCATTGAAAGCCTTTGAGCACATGATATTTTACAGTTCAAAGAACCCTCTCCTTGATGGTTTTAGTCTTCTGAACTATACATGTGCTATATGTTTAGACAAGTTATGTTTCTTATTTAAAATAATTAATTTACACTACAAAAGGCCAGGAAATTGTAATCAAAGACATTTTTTTCTGTTATAAAATTTGACCCTTTTCCTTCAGTTTTGTTCTGTGTTCTCTCTATTCATTGAGATTTTGAAAACCATGTAGGAAAAGTGCTTAAGTTTCAGAAGCAAAAATAATACAATATTCCCAAGTTTTTGAAAATATTTATCTAAAGAATTTTAATTAAAATGACTGCTATATAGCTTTCAGTAACTACCATAATTAAGACATATAGAACTAGCAGAAGGATAAACACACAGATCAATGAAACAGAAAATATAACTCAAAAACAGACACATCCAAATATGCCTAACTGATTTTTGACAGAAGTGCAAAAGCAATTCAATGGCGGAAAGATAGTACTTTCAACAAATGGTCCTGAAGCAACTGGATATCCATGGGCAAATCAAGCAAGCAAAAACCCCATAAATACACTGACTCAAGTTTCACATTATGTAAAATCTCAAAATGTATTATGGATTTAAATTTAAAATTGTAATCTATAAAACTTATAGAAAATATATAGCAGAAAATATTTCATATCTGTTGCTAGGAATATTTTCTTAAATTGTATATCAACTGGGTCACACTTAGCTACTCTGGAATGTAATATGCAAAATTAGGTTGACTTTGGATACTGGGGCAAAATATATCAGAATTATGTGAAAATATAATTAACACCAAAAATATACCTATAGATCAATCTTAATAACGCCTTTTATATTTTTTGCTTAATTTCAGAAAGAATGAAGATATATTATTGACATAGTCTTTGGAAGTGAGAGGTAGCTCACTTTACTTTAATAAGTAAAAAATGATCAAATGAAATTTCATAATCTTCTATACTTCATTCATATATTCTTATTTATTCATCATCTATTAAGTACAAACTCCTGGACTATACATTCTGCATGGGGTGTGGTATGTGCACCTATAGGCACACACAAGATTGAAGCTTCTCCTTTAAGAAACATACAATCAGTTAGAGGTGATACCACTCAAACACTTATATCCACATAAAGCCTTGAAGATGTGTTATAGGCATGGTGATATTAAACAACAGAAAAATTCCATTCAAGATAATCATGATAGAGAGGGAAGCATGGGTTGGGCTCTGAGAGTCAAATAGGTAAGGATGAATAGAAAAACATTCCAGGTGGGCAGACTACATGAGGCTTCTTGGAAGCAACATTAAGTCTTTGAGGTATAGCAGTCAATTCAGACTAGCTCAGAGATTGACAATTTAGTGAGGAAAAGAAAATAAACCTGTAAATTTTGTTGAATCCAAATTAAAGAGAATTTAATAGAAACCATGATGTACCCTGAGATGGCAATTTGGGGTCATTGGTTTTAAAGAAATTAAATGCTGTGATTACATGGTGTGTCTGTCAGTGTGTGTGCACACATAGATAATGCCCATTAACAGAAACAGGGAAAAAGTTCATATAAGTCCAACCAACCCAAACACATCCATTCAAATTATTTTGGTGTGTTTTATTCCTTTTATCTCCCTGTATATAAAGAAGTAGAGAAACAGGAATTATCATATATAAAGCATTGTTTTAGGCAGTTTTGAAACTGTTTTTGAGTGTATCCCCCTTTTCTTGAATTAATATTTTATGGGATCCATTTTTATAAAAGGAGTTTATGGGTAAAAAGATATAACAAAATTTTAACTGAACTGAAATTCACAATAGTTAACAAAATTAGCTATATTAAAATTTACAATTCAGTGGTATTTAATACTTTCACAGTACTGTTCAAACACTCCCTATTTGGTTCCAAAACATTTTAATCATCCCAAAAGAAAATCCTATTCCCATTAATCAGTAATTCCTCATTCTTCCCTACCTTACTCTCTGATAATCATGAATCTAATTTCTACCTATGAATTCACTTATTTTAGATATTTTACATGAATAGAATCATGGAGTATATGACATTTCATCTTGTTTCTTCCACCTATTTTTTTAGGTTTATCTGAATTATAATATATATTAATACTTCATTCTTTTTTATGGTTGAATACTATTTCATTATAGGTATGTACCGTGTTTGTTTATCCATTCATCCATGGAAGGTTATTTGGCTTTTTTCCCCCCACCTTTTGACCATTATTAATAGTGCTGCTGTGAACATTTGTGCACAAGAAGTTGTTTGTTTACATATTTTTATCTTTAGAGGTAAATATATTGAGGTATAGAATCACTAGGTAATATGATAATTCTGTTTATCTTTTTGAGAAACCACTAAACAACTTTCTAAAATTGCTGCACCATTGTACATTCATACTGGCAACATGTAAATGTACCAGCCTGAATCCTCACCAGTTGCTGTTATTTTCCATTCTTCTTATAATAGCTATCCTAATTGGTATCTCATTGTGGTTTAGGTGTAAACCTCCATAATTAGACTAATGATGTTAAGTGCATTTTAATATGCTTGTGTGCCTTTCATGGTTTCTTCTTTGGAGAAATGCCTATTCATGTCTGTTACCTTTTTTTTTTCTTATTGTAGTTGAGTTTGAGAGCTATTCAGACATTCCAGATAGCAGACCATCATCAAACATAAGGCTTGCAAATATTTTCTTCTACTCGGTATATTGTCTTTTCACTTTTTTGATAATGTCCTTTGGTGCATACATTTTAAAAATTCTGATGAAGTATGATTTGTCTATTTTTTTCTCTTATTACACATGCTTTTTGTTACTATATCAAAGAATACATTGCCAAATTCAAGGTCATGAAATTTTAACCTTAGGATTTCTTCTGAGAGTTTTATAGTCTTATTCCTTATATTTAAGTGGCTGATCTATTTCAAATAATTATTTTTTATTGTTTGAAATAGGGATTCAGATATAAAATATTTTAAGGGTCTCATTATATATTGAAAAAATGTTTTCCAAATGGTTGTGTGATGTATACTGCTCTTAGGCACTGCATAATCTTCTATATTACCATCTTTACTAACAAAGAACTTTATCTTAAAGAAAGAGTAATTATTAAATTCATAGATTATATACAGCCTAACTACTAATTAGATGCATTTACACCCACACATACACACACACATCACACATACCCACACACATCACACATACATACACACCATCTGTATTAGTATTTACTATGTAAATACTATGTATTTACATAGTATTTACTATGTATTGTATTTACTATGCAATAAATTACCTGAAACTTAGTGACTTTGGAAAAAAAAATTTTTTTTCAGTTTGTGTGTATAAGGAACTGGGGATTGGCTTAGGTGGTTGGTTCTTGCTTTAACAATGTTGCAATCAGGTATCAGTTGGGGCTGCAATCATCTGATGGCTTGACTGAGGCTGGTAGGTATACAGCCAAGGTAAAGTGTGGTTAACTGGTGCTTGCTGATGGCATGAGGCCACAGGTTTCTCCACATGAAACTCGCTTCAGTGCAACTTGAGTGTCCCCATGACATGGTACTGGGATCGTCCCAGGGTGAGTAGGCAGAAGGTAAAGATGGAAATATCTGTTACTTTCACTTTATTTATTTATTTTTTTGATCACATGAGTCAGGTCTAATTCAGTGCTGGAGGGGACTACCAGATGGGGATGACTTGGGGAGACCAACTTAGAGGCTGGTTAACATAGTCCCCAAATATTTCATATTCATCCTACATGAAGGAAAGTTACATGGCTCAAAATAGTCTGGAGTGCAAACTCCCCTCCAGGGCCTCCCCACCACTGTATGCAACACAAAGAACTCTCTCACCTGAAGAAAAAAAATGGACATTTAGGTTGATTATGCCCAGCTCCCAGCCAGTCCAGCCTCTGGCTGATCTCCAGAATTCCTTGCCCCAGACGTTTAAGAGATAACTACTCCAATCAACCTTGGAGAACAGGCTCCCTTAAGACAGTGGATTTCCACATAGATGCCTATATATACTTAGTCTTTTCTTGGGTTAGTGCAGCAGCTAACTAATCTGACTGCTACCCATTCTTGCCTCATTAAAGGTGATCTGTCCCTGTAAAGTCTCGTTCTTTTCCGAACCTCGCCTTCTCTAACTCCCTTATTCTAACACCACACACGAGTATACT